ACTGGATGAAACTGTATGCCTTGCTGCTATGGCCTATATAATGCATATCCACTCAACGGCCTGTAGCCGGGTAAACTGTATGGGGTGCAGATCTGCTATTCCAGATCTGCTATTCTATGTTGCGACATAGCCTTATCTACATGGTTTCTACCTAACCTCAATGGAGCATATTAATGGTATGTCAATAGATAAAACAAATGCACAGTAACTGTGTCATAATTTGCATGCTTGTGTCATGAAATTAACTGCTTCATCATTTCATAAAATTTACTGCTTACCTGTATGCTAATAGCCTCTCCAAGCGGGCAACTTGTGTCATGTTAGTTTCACACCATTTGCATGCTTGCATTTTGTGTTTATACATGTATTCATGTTGTCTTTTTGCTTTAAAATGATTGAAGACATACAAGTTGAGAAAAGGAATACAATTGCATAGCATTCATAACTTCATACACCATAGTGTTTACTCTTTCACATCATTTGCATGCTTGGCATGTTGTTTTGATACAATGTTCTATGTTGTCTTTTCTCGTTTCTAGAAAATGATGGAGGCATATACAGTTGAGCAAAGGAACTAAACAATCTGCATTGAAAATCGAAGTCCAAAAGAGCATACGAAACACAATCTTCGCGAGCCGCACCAATGCAAAGTCACAATTCGCCGAGCGCGCAATGAATTCGCGACGCGCAGTGTTTTCCAGCCTGCGCGTCTATCTCTTTTGGCTCATCATCTCTCAATTATCACTACACCACTCATTTGGGTCGATTCAAAAACCCATGTAAAGCTAAACATAGAGGAACAAATAAATCTTTCTATGACACTTCCTAATTCCATCATTAAATAGGGTCAAAATCAAAGGTGAAGTTACTGGTAAATTTTCCAGCAAAACTGTATTCAGCAATGAACTCCAATCTTCTAATTTCATTTATTCATTTCATCTCATGTTTTTTCACCATTTTCAGTCTTCTCCACTCAACATTTAAGCAACATTATCCACATCACATTTCACACATCACCATAATTAATCATGTAAGGAAATGCAATTAAACTAAAAGAAAGATAGGCACACCTTCACTCCAAAAAGCTTAAGCTCTTCTTTTTTAGCTTCCTTTTTCTTCTACCTTTGAGCCACCTCTCCTATACATGAGAATTCTTATGATATTCTAAAAATCATCAACCAATGATTTTCAAGTATGAAATTCAGAGGTTTACTTATTGGATTAGAATAGAAAGTTGAATTAATGCTTGAATTCCCATTAAATTCTTCACTACAATTCAAAGTTTGATGAGAAATAAAGCATGAGAAAGTAGAGGAAGAAGATGAAGATAAGGATGAAGAAATGAAATGAAATGGAAACTCACGGGTAATCTCCAAAATATCATGGATTTTTCTGTGAAAATTTACAAAATGGGTTACTCAAAGTGTCAAAAATGGTACAACTTAATACCTCAACTTTATACTTTCGTGCAGCAAGTCCTAATCCTTATACTTTGATCTTTTGTTTCCTTCAAGTAAGTCACTTCTTTTCCTTATTGCAATTACAATCGATTCTAGCCACTCTAAGACTCTAATTGGATCGAACCAGGTTTTGGATCAGCGCCGACTCGACTCTAAGCAACGACTCGATTCAATAGAAAAATGGGACGTTACACTAATCAACACACACAACAATTCTCATGCAAAGAAAAATGAAAAATAACAAAGAGATATCAAACCTTTACTTCAAAAAGCTTGAGTTCTTCTTTAACTTCTTTTCTCTACACTCCTTGAACTCCCTTCACCTATAAATGAGAATTCTTATGACTATTCTAAAAATAGCACCAAATGATTCAATCATGAACTTAAAGAAGGTTTACGTACTTGGATAGAAGAAAAGTTGAAGTTAAGACTTAACTACCATTAAAATTGAAAGGAAGGTGGAAGAGATAAAGGAAGAAGATGAAGATAAACATGAAAATGGGAAAGTGAAATGGGTATGCACGGGTAGGCTCTAAAATATCCATGACTTTGTGTGTAAAAGTTCTAAGAAGTTCTAATGGCTACCTCAATTGTCAACAGGCTACAACTTAATACCAAAACTTGATTTTTAATGCACATAAATCCTAAACCCTTATGCTTTAAATCTTTTTCTCATCACTCAAGTACTCCACTTATAACCCATTCACCCAACCGGGTTTGGTTCAACTTCGACTCAACTCGACTCTATGAAAAAAAAACTCGACTCAGTACTAAGACTCGACTCGGTAGGATGTCACATAGTAGGTTTAATTCTTGCTAGGAATAGTTAATCGGTATATTTTAAGTTGTAAGTTGGATCTTTTAGTAGATGTATTCTTTAGATTTTAATTTAATAGAAGCTTTTGTTCTTATTGGCTAATAAAAATTTTAACAAAAGAATAAATATGTGGTTATTATCTTTAAGCAAGAATGAAGAAATGAAAGCAATTGCAATTAACTTAATGATATAAGTTTTATTCGATTATATATGTATTAAAGCCTTCGTTTGTTTGGTAATTAGCTATTGAAGCTAGTTATATTATATGAAGTAAAGAATGATTGCTATTACCATTGGAACAAGATTGTTGTAAATTAATGGTTGAGTGTTGATATTGTTGTTTTGGGAGGAGGATGGGATTTTAAATTGATTGATTGCCCGACGGATGGGCTGTGTGCTTTGATTTGATAAATAAATGATAATATTGAGATATTTGAGCAGGCAGATAGTCCAATTTTTAGGGGAGGTGCTGTCGAAATTTTGATAGAACTTAGACTAATTTTAACTAACAACATAATTAATAAGTTTAAATAAGTTTATTTAGATTAGTTCTATAATTTAGTACATAATAAATCATCAGTGCTTCTGATTACTTATTTCTTTTATTATTCAGTTTATTATTTACATATTTATTTATTTATTTCCATTATTATTGTTATTATTGTTATTTATTTTATTATTGTTGTTTATTGTTAATGTATTTAATTATTTAATTGCATTTGAAGAATGGATGTCTAATTGTGCATTGCATTAACGATGTTCAACTGATCAATATGTCTGGCATTTGATTGCAATGTTTGATTAATTGTGTTGTGAAAATGCTATGCTTTCGTTTGCGTGGATTTGGATGAAGTGGAACCACCATGGGTTTGTGAGACCGGTCTGTGATATGGATCTGAATACGATATGATCTTGACCGTCGCCGGGAAAATGGGAGATCTGGCGCCCCCTTGTGCACCGGAGTGATATTAAATTATATGGGGATTTACAGGATGGCTTCTTTTTTGTTGTGCAACCTGATAATCTAGATTTGATTTGTAAGCCCGCGGGGTGGCCTCACTGTTGTGAAGATAATCTAGATTGGATGGAGACCACCGGGTTGCCTCCTGTTGATATGGAAAAGAAACGAGAGACTGGAAAAACAATGAGAGGACTGGTCAGTGAGCATTAGACCAGTTGGCCGTATGGGGGATCGGCTCCCTAGTGCACATGTACGAGAGGGCGAGCCATGTGTGAGGACGGCTCGTTTGGGTTTCAAGTGGTGCCACTGACTAATTACCACTTGCTTGATTACTTGAAAGTGACATTACGTGTGAGTGCTGGTATGTGTAATTTGTGTGACTGGCTGCGTGAGCATATAACTAGTCGGATGACTAGATTGAAATGTTTACATATTTGTGTGACTGGGACGACTAGATTAATATGTTTACACATTTGTGTGACTGCGTGTGTGGTGCAAAAATTATTACTCCTTAGAAAACTCACATGTCTTATTTGATTTTTCAAGAAGTAGGTTTTTTCTTTAATCCGATTTAGGCTATGTTTCTTTGGCGCAGGGCAATAAAGAAATTTTTCCTAGTTCCATAATTATTTTTGCTATGTAATTATGTGTATAAAAGCTATGTATACTAAGAGTTAGTGACTCCGCAGATGTAGGATTTACATATATTTAGTCGTGTATTAATATAGCCAAAACAATTCTGTAAGCCTATATTAGAAATGTGATGCATTGTGAATTGAGCCCGAACTATGAAATGTCGTAAAAGATAAACTTGGGCCGAGAAATAATAAAAATAAAATATTGAGATTTATTTTTCATAATCATATGGGCTGAATGTTGAAATTTATACCGAGGTAATAGATTCTAGTGTTTCAGGCTGACTACGGGCTTCGGGGGCCTTAAGCTTACCTGGGCCCTAGTGCCGGTCCGGCCCATGGAATCGGGTCGTGACAGTGATGCAAAATGAAATGATACAAAGTCACTCCATAAATCAATAATAATAGAGAAAACCACAACTGTGTAGAAAAAAAAAAAAAATACTCTTTAAGAAAATTAGAATTAAAACATCATAATTTATTAATTTAAAATATAAAAATATAAAAAATAAAAATATTAAAATATTATTAAAATATTAAAAATATTAAAATATTTGCAGTAAATTAAAATCTTTCCAATAAAAAATAGACAAAACTACAAATTATGAAATATTTACTATAGAAGAAACATTCAAATTGGGTCCAATAGCTCAGTGGTAAGAGCATTTGGACTGCAGATCAAGAGGTCACCGGTTCGAAACCCGGGTTTGGGCCCTTTGTATTTTTTATTTGAATCTTTTTTTTTTGTTTTTATGCATCTTTTACAAAAAGGGGAAAACAATGTCCAATTTGCTTATATTAAAATATTAAAATATTAAAATATTAAAATATTTGCAGTAAATTAAAAATCATTCCAAAAAAATAGACAAAACTACAATAATGAATAATTTACTATAGAAGAAACATTCAAATTGGGTCCATAGCTCAGTGGTAGAGCATTTGACTGCAGATCAAGAGGTCACCGGTTCGAACCCGGTTGGGCCCTTTGTATTTTTATTTGAATCTTTTTTTTTTTTTTTAATGCATCTTTTAACAAAAAGGGGAAAACAAATGTCCAATTGCTAGTTTTGCCACTGCTAATATATATATGTTTTAGTCTCCACCCAAACAGTTGAACTGGTTTTCGATTGACCCAGTTACTAATTCTTTTGGTTTGATATTATTAAAAAAGAATGGCATTTTTGTTATCTACAGTTGCAGCAAGCAAGCTAAGCTTGAAACTTGTCAACAATGATGGTGAATTACCAGAAACATCAGCTGCTAACAGTATTTTCACGGGTAAGTCTCTCTATATCTTCACTTCTTCTAAAGCTTTTCACTTATTTTGGTGCCTAAACTAAAACCCATTTCAGGCTTGAGTTTAGAGACCAGAACACACGACAAGAGACTCTCTTTTGTTACTTGAGCTGTTAAGAACCGAACAAGTGTTGAGTTGAAACAGGAAAGTTATGCTAAAATAGGGCCACGAAAACGAGGTAGAGACTTAGTTTCGAGTGAGCGAAGAAAGAAGGATGATAGATATGGACCTATTTGCTCTGGTTGTGGGATTTTTATGCAATATAAAGAACCGAACCTTCCTGGTTATTATCAAAAAAGAAAAATTACCATTGAAAGAGATGAAGAGGATATTGAAATTGGGTTTGAAGGGTCTGAGGAAGAATTCGAAGAGGAAGAAGAGGAATTTGAGAATGGAACTGAGGGTAAATTTGAGGGAAGTGATGGGAATAAAGACAATTTGGAGGAGGGAGATAAGTTCGATTGGGATTCTGATGAATTTGAAGCAATGTTAGGAAAAGAAGATGATGATTTGGATTTGAATGGTTTTGCTCTTGCTGGTGTTGGTTATGATAATATTACAGATGAAATAGTAGAGAGAGAGGGAGAGGAAGAAAAAAGATCAAAAGAAAGTTTCAAAAGCAGAGAAGAAGAGGATGGCTAGAGAGGCCAAAAAGGAAAAAGATGAGGTTACAATGTGTGCTTGGTGTCATTCTTTGAGGAATTATGTACATGTTAAGAATCAAACAGCTGAAACTTTGATTCCTGATTTTGATTTTGATAGATTGATCGCTACTATGTTGATAAAACCAAGTGGTAATGTCCATGCTACTATTGTCATTATGATTGTTGATTGTGTTGATTTTGACGGTTCATTTCCTAAATGAGCTGCAATGTCCTTGTTCAAGGCATTGGAAGGAGCCAAGAATGAATCTAAAGCTAGTAAAAGGTTGCCTAAACTTGTTCTTGTAGGTACAAAGGTTGATCTCCTCCCATCACAAATTTCACCTACTAGATTAGATAGATGGGTCAGGCACAGAGCTAGAGCAGGAGGTGCACCTAAGTTAAGTGGAGTTTATTTGGTTAGTGCTCGAAAGGATTTGGGCGTGAGAAATTTGTTGTCATTGTCAAGGAATTAGCTGGTCCTCAAGGGCATGTATGGGTTATTGGGGCTCAAAATGTAGGTAAGTCAAATCTAATCAATGCATTTGCAAAGAAAGGAGGGGCCAAAGTAACAAAGCTCACAGATGCTTCAATTCCTGGAACAACACTCGAATCACAAAAGAGAAAAAAGCTTCAAGAGATGAATGCAGAATCTCTTTCAGGGGTATCTACATGAAAGAGAAATAAGAAAATGCTTGCTTGAATAGGTAAGATTTTGGTTTCTCTCTTTTCCTTTCTGCAACTTGTTTGGGCTTAAAGCTATAAATCGCAACATGTAATAAAAACAGATTTTGTATTTATTATCCAAAGAACAGAAATTGTAGTGATAGATGAACTTTTGTTTGACTGGTTATGCAGCTTCTAAGTTTTGTTTGGTGGCATTGATTGTGGAAAGAAGGTTGGTTTCGAACCAGAAATGATCTCAAACCTACCAGTTTAGTCTTAAATTGGAAAAAATAATAGAAAGTTGAAAACAAATTATCGAATTGGAATCGGAACTAGAATTGGTAAACTTTTACTGAGACTGAGATTGGCTGGAAACGATTGAATCGGAACCGGTTCAGGTCTCATTTACACTCTTCGTGGCCATGAACGACCGGTTCAAATGAACCGGTCACTCTTAGCACTTAGCAATCAAATTTAGTGATTCTTAATTTGGGAACGTGCAAAATACTCCCAAAGCTTCTGTCATGCTGTATTCGGATTTAATAATTCGCAGTCCTTTTTGTTTGAATTGCCAAATATTTATAGATTTGGATTTAAATAAATGCTATATCAAATTTTAAAGCTTTGATATGATAAATTTCAAATTATTTTAGAACATATATCATTCAAATATATTGTACATTTAATTTATTTTTTTTTTCAAATCAAATACATGGATTGAAATATTTTGATATAATCATTAAGGAATTCAAAAAAATTTATACTATGCCTTTGTGCTACACTGCCAATTGTCATAGAGAGTTAAAATGATTACTCCTTGACTTAACCAAAGTTAAGGAAGTGATTACTTGCTACTGCTGGAGTTAACCCGAAAGAGTAAAGTGAAAGAAACTAACCTAATCGTTTAACCTTTGTAATTATGATGCCTTCCAATTAGAAATTCTTAATCACACTTCCTTTTGTAAGATACATTGTAGTTAAGCTATTTTGAGAAATTAGTGTGGCTAGACATTCACCTACTTTGACGTGGGAAAGACTTTCATTAATTGTATTAACTGATTTATAAAAGACTATGTAAGTTATAATTATGAATAATTCCTTCCAATAACTTTTTTAAATGAGTTGGGCTACGCTCGAAAAAAAATTCTACTCAAATAGAGCCAAAAACGAGCCTAATAACTTTCCACTCAAAAGCTCATCGAGCTTTTATATATATAGAGCCAAAAACGAGCCTAATAACTTTACCACTCAATAAGCTCATGAGCTTTTATATATATAATATAATATATATATAGTTAATATATATACTATAATTTTAGATTAGCCTCAAGGCTAAATTTGAATATATATGTTTTAGATCTACTCAAGCTAAATTTGAACTTAAAATTTTTCAAATTAAACTCGAATCTCGAATCGACCTTGAGCTTTCATCGAACCAAGCCCGAGTCTAAATTTTCAGGCTCTTTGAATTTTCAAGCTCGTTGAATTTCAAGCCGAACTAAATCCTATTGAGCGAGCTTCGAGCCTGGCAAGTTCGAGCTTGGCTATGCTTGTTTACACCCCTAATACAAAGTCTGCAGGGTTGTTTCAAAGACTCTTCTTTAACATTTAAATCAATAAATTAATTTAACAGATAAAATTCAAAGATAACGCAAAAGAAATATATATATATATATATATAATAACTTCTTCTCTTGCTAAAATTTTACATTTTACTTTTTTACATTTTTTTTAGAGATTCCTTTGGTTAAGTGAAAACAGAGAAATGGGAATGAACAAGGAGTGACACAAGTTTGCAACCTTGCTCTGTACAGCACTTACAGAAAAGCAGAAACTAAACTAGTCTACTCAGTTGAGGGGATAACTGCAACTTGAGAGAGTTAGCCCTTCCAGCAAATACTGCGGGCCGCACTTTGTATTAAATATACTTGGCTGCTGGAGCTGTTTCATCCCTCTTGGGTGCCTCAGCTTCAATTTGAAAGCCTATAAAATACAAAAACATTATATCAATTTTCATAGAGAGGCTAATGCGTTGGACTTGTAGTGTCTACATATTCTAAATACTCGTGCCCAAGATTTGCAGAAAAGGTTGAATCATACCATTGGAAGGAGGTGATCTGCTATCTACATCAGTTTGATAAGATTCCACAAACTCCTGAAATTGAACTTCCAGAGTGGAGAAATCTTCGCCAGCATCAAGATCAAAAGTATCTGGAAGTAAGTCAGCTACATCACAGGCATCATAGCTGTCATCCTCAGCATTGTCATAGAAGCCTTCCTCATCTTGATGCTGACTGAGCCAGTAATCTCGATACCATGTTGAAGTTGTAACCAGTTGCCACCATTCTGGGGAGAAATCCTCTACTTGCTGGTATGCAGCAGGGATAAAGAGTGGGGCATCTGGGTTGAGAGTTGATCTTCCTCCTGAAACTAGTGCCATCTGTTTCAACTAAGTCTTGTTCTCCTTTTTACTCTGCAAACCAAATATAACTAGATCAGAAACGTTGAATCATGCAAATCATTTCCACAAACTAGGCTCACCACAGAACTATGTAATCCATTTCATTCACAAAACAACCTTTTTCTTCTCAAACATTAAAACCATTATGATTTGTTCAGATCATCCTTTTATACCCTAGCTAAAGTAACCAAGTACTGTTTTGCTCAATGAAAATTACTAGAAGGCTTCAATTTATTCATGCTACAGCAGATCAACACCCAATATAATAAAAATAATCTTAGCCAATCACATAACCAAATCAGAGCTTGAGATCCATTGATAATGTAGATATTACATTAGTCAATCATAAACCCCAAATCAAACATGAAGCTATCAGTGTTCACAAGAATTACAAAGATCAACCTATAGAACATTGAACTTACAAAGATCAACCTAATTACCAACAATACAAAACAAAATAAGAAGATAAGATCATCAGAAAAAGCTCTAAACAAATGATCAGGTCACATATAAAACTAAATTGATCCGATCATTGTAAAACAAAGTGTAATTTCCAAGTCAATCAAATTATTAAGGTCATATAAGGAAAATGTCTGATCATTGAATAAATACTGACTCACATCTTCAATCTACACAACTACGCTAATAATCAGAATCAAGTTCCATTAAATCACAAAAAGGTTAATCCCGTTCGCAATATAACAATAAACAATTTTTGAACAGGAAAAACGAATATCGATCGCATGATACGATCTTATCGAGCCACAGATCAAGAATATAGAACCGATCAATCGTTTGATCTCTGAGAAAACGAAGCAAAACGAAACTAAGTCAGAATAGAAAGAAGAGGAAATTCGATCTCAAGTTCTCTCTTCCATTCTTTTCTGCGAAATTTTCGTTCAGTTTCATTTCATTTTCCGTGTAGTTTCTTCGATCTCTCGATCTCAAGTTCTCTCTTCCATTCTTTTCTGCGAAATTTTCGTTCAGTTTCATTTCATTTTCCGTGTAGTTTCTTCGATCTCTCCTGACTTTCTCAGAAACCAAACACAATAATTTCAAAAGAAATCCTCTCAAAATTCAACAGATAAACAGATCTAAACAAAACAGATACCAAAACCAGAAATCATATACTAAACCGTTGAATCGAACTATCAGAAAACGGATCAGAGTTAAATTGGATACCTTACGCGAAGAAAAAATGTCTGTGTGTTGATTACAGAACTCTGATTAGCACCATTCAACGTACGATACGAACGTGAAAAGCAAAGAGCGAGATAAGCGCGTATTTATAGCGGGCCTGTCCGAGCCTAGCAGCTTCGGAATAACGCGGCCGAGGTTCGGATGTGCTTAGCAGCCCCTTTACTTTACGGACATGCTACTGTACGGCCTGCGGGTTCTTCTCAGTAGTCGGTCATTAGCCGGTCATATACGCGGTTGTGGTCTCCTGTTGACTGGTTGACATTTCATTGTCGTTATTATTATTATTATTATTATTTTGTTAAATGTAAAATTGTAAATAGCTAAACTTAGGCGTGTACAGTTATTATATGATAATTTAAGCACAAGAACATCGTGAGAAACGCATGGAATAATTTTTTTTCCGGGAGAAATAATAGCATGTAATAATTTTTAGATGAAATAATATAATTGAATTAATTCGTGAAATTGAATGATAGGTTTTCTATAGTCAAAATGACAATAATAGTTTTTTGTAATTATTATTGTTATTTTCTATATTCTATAAAAATAGAATTACCTTGACATCCACGTAAATAAAAATTTAATTAATATAGTTAAACCATAATTATTGTGTAGTTTTGTATACTATGGACTTATAATTTAACTTAATCCAAAAATCAAAACAATCAAAATTATGGAATTTGTTAATATAAATGACAACAATAATTATTTTATATATAATGATAAATATATTTGTTGAAATGCATGGATGCATGGATTATCTAAACTACTTGTAAAAAAATGTTTATATAATATATATAATATATATATATATAATATAATATATTACTGATATAATTTAATTATATGTTTAGAATAATATTATTTATCTATAAGGTCCAACCTTTTCCAATCATATTTAGAAAGGGAAGAGATAAGAACTAACAAAGTTCAAGAATTAAATTTTATTGGAAAAGTAGAAAATTTCATACAAAATCAGTTTTCGAAGTTGGAGACTTCAAATCAAATGCCCTTCAAAAGTTGTTGTCTCCGATTTTCATACCAAATCAGTTTCGAGTGAGACTTCAAAATCAAATGCCCTTCAAAAGTTGTTGTCTCCGACGTAAAATTAAAAAACACGTAATCCAATTTTATAAAAATTACTAAGAAATATGTAGTGGGACCCACAAAACAGAGCAATTTTGCAAGCATTAATTAAGATAAGTAAGACATTAAACCATTCGTTAACATTATATATACTATAAAATCTTATCCGTTAGTTAATAATGCAACGGGTCCCATCCATGTGAGCTTAAATTGACCTTCCTATATAAAAAAAGCTAATTAAATCACCGTAGATATTAGCGACATTTACTGTTTTTCATTAATTTATAATAAACGGCCACGATTTAGAATTTTGATGATGACACGTTCTAAAATGTGGGGCCCAAATTAGGTAACCCAACACCTGATTGTTCGCGTTTGCCACATGCGCTTGTTGGTCGGTTAGGCAAAGACATATAATAATATGAGCCTCACCCTAAGCAAAATCCAAACATCCCTCGTAGTACCATACAAATTAATTAGGAAGGATCAGTTTAAATAATAATAATAACAATAATTAGGAAGGAAAATATTTATTCCACTGACCCCTGTATTTTTATAAAAATATATAATTAATATGATTAAAATATAATTTTTCGTACTTATTTTCCAAAATTCCCAGATTAAACATTAATTATGAAAGTAGTTGAGTGGATAAAAATTACTTTAATTGTTTTAAGATTTGATAATAGTAATACAGTAAAATATCTCATAATATAATGCATATTAAATCCAGATAAAATAGGAAACTATAAAGATCCTTGTTCTAAAACAAAAAATTGAAGTGTGATTTAGGATAAATGAAAAAAAGAAATGAAACCTATTTTCATAGGACAAAAGTAATATTTACTTTTGAATGAATACTCATTTAGGACTATGACATGACTTGATTTATATTTATGAGAACTGATAATCAATAGGAATTAGTAATTACTTTGCAATTTATTTTACTTATACTATATTTTTAATTGTTAGATAAGCATACGCAAAATAAAACTTAGAAATTAATTATTTTCGATTATTGAAATCGACAAAAAATATAGGGTGCAAAAATACATAAAATTCCATAAATTTTCACACTAAGAAAACGAAATGCAGAGGAAGCAATTGCATGACTATGAAAAAGAAACTATTGGTAATGAGTCATATAGATAGAGAGAAAGAGAGAGAGAGAAAAAAAAAAAAACCCAAATAGCCAAAAACACACCTCTAACCTCACAAAGAAAATAAAAAGTTAAAAACTCACAAGTTCAAATAAACCTGGGTGTGATTAATCGAAGCTCAAATACATAAAGGAAAAGGACAATTATTTAAAAACAAATTGTTATTGGCCAGTTGCTATACAACTCACAAGCTCATTTACTACTATTGTGCATTGAGTTTGGGAGAGACGACGATATTAAAGAGAGAGGGGAACGGAGAAGAAGAAATTCGAATTTGATACAGAGGAGATTATCGAGGTAGCAAGGAAGAAAAACAAGCTGATTGAGCTGTCAAGGAAATTAGGGATTTTATTTTTCAAAATCAAAACGACGTGTTTCTTAAATTTTAAAAATTTGAGTTAAATTAACTCAAGTTGATTTTGTGGGTCCCATTATAAAGCTCAAGTGGATTTTAAAACTGGGGTGACAATATATTTAAGTTAGAAAAATAAATTATTTATATAATAAATAAAAAATCTAATATGAATACATCAAGAAGTATTTGAATAATTATAGTTAAGAAACAATCTTTAAGCTTCTAAAAAATGAGATATATTAAAATTATAATTTTGAAAAAATTATAATATGGTCATTGTGATTCGAAAAATACAATTAACGTGTCACTATATTTTTAAAAATGTACCAAAATGAGAATAGATAAAAAAGATATTTTCATCATTTCATAATATACTTATCAGAAAAGATACAAAAATTTGGTAATAAAAGCAAAATATATAAAAAATTTAATCTATTTTCAAATACACAAGGATAAATTAGTTATATTTTTCAAACAATATTGACCGTACTATAATTTAACACTAAAAAAATTTGCAAATAAAAATAAATTTACATCTAAAAGAGATATACTAAAATGGTAGTGATTTATATTAATAAAAAAAAGCATGAAAAGGGAAAAGATTAGAAATCAAAAGATTATATAATTAAATTTCAAAAATAAAAATAAAAATATAAAACGATGCAATATAGAAATAGAATGTTAGAACGTTGATACAACGTTGGACTCGCCTTAACGAGCATTTTAATTTTTTTTTTTTCAGCTGGTATAGATCCCATAGATACAGTACTTGTCCATAAATACAATAATTATAATATACATAGATACAGGGTACTGTCCATAAATAAATAAATTTATAGTATAGTATATATCATAAGTAGTAATTATATTATTATAATAAGTAAATTATATATCTAGTATATATTATATATTTATATATATACAATTATCTATATATATTTTAACAAGATGCTCCCGTCCAAAACGAGCTCGAAGACTCATGATATCTGTATTACATATTAGTTTAAATAGAAAGTCCTCTTAAAATATCTGACACAAAATGTACTTTTTTTGGAACCCAGATTTAGAATTTAAAGCTGTGTACTATGCATATATACAATAGCTATATATATTTTAAACAAGATCTCCCGTCCAAGAACGAGTCGAAGACTCATATCATTTCTGTATTACATATATATTTAAATAGAAAGTCACTCTTAAAATATCTAGCACAAATGTCACTTTTCTTTAGGGACATGATTTAGTATTTTAAAGCTTGTTACTTCATCGTTGACAATATTATACGAAAGCCAAAGATCTTTACATTGGAATATAGAAAACGGAAAATGAAAGCTCTTAGAAATGCAGTTTTCTATCACTACTTGTTGGATCCCACAAAACGACATTGCCCAGACAAAATTCAGAATCAGTTGCTTCAAAAATCAACCTGTCAGAACTTTAAACAGCAAGAACAAATTTAAAAATTAAAACGACACGACTTCTTTCACTTCAAAGCAAAGGGCTGTTCCTCTCTTTATCCTATTTTTGTTCAGTTCTTTTCTAATTGTAACATCACCCGTTGCCCATCGTTTTTATTAGTTGGTAAGTTATTTTCTTTTTATTTTACTTAATTTACTTTTTTAATTAATATCTGATATATATGGTTCATTTAATTTAGTGCAAGTTATGTTTAAGAATAATTTATCTTTAAGAAAATTTAAATCTATAAAAATATAAACATAAACCCATCAAAATGAATCACGCTACAAGTGGTTGGTTCTGAATTGAAGATTAATTTTAAACATAATATTTCTATTTTCTAATAATTTTAGTTTTTATATTAATCATTTTTTTTATAATTGTAACATTTTAATGTCGTTAAACAAATTATTTTTTAAAAATAATTTGAATAAAATATACTTCTTAGGAGTCCGACATTGTTCAAATAATAAATCCAGGAAGGGCTAGCTAATTGATTGGGCTAAGCCCAAGTAAGCCCAGTTAGAGCGTTGATGGTTTTGGATTGCTGTGTTGATTTTGCAGGAAGCTACTGAAATTGAAAAGAAAATGAGAAGAAAGTTTCGGATTTGGTGGCCAATGTATCTTCTTCAGCTGAATCATATTCTTCCATTAATTTCTTTTCTGGTCAGTTCGTTTCTTGTACAACAGCTTCTCTTGATTCTGTAGTAGCATTCGCTTGCAATGAGGTTTCGTTAATCCATTGCCAATCTGGTTTTCAGGTACTCGAAATATGAAGGAGTAATTATTTCAGTTAACAGTTCATTGGGATTATATCAAGATTGGAAGATCGTTTTTAAATCAATGCTTCTGCTAGGTCAGAGTGCTGGATTCCATCCTTGTAATGGCAAAACATAGAGGTTCGGAATGGAAGATGATATAATTGGAGAAAATCCTACACCGAGGGCATTTTTTCAGCAACAAACAGGGGTTGGATTAACGTGTTTCTTTTATTACATGATTCAGAACAAACCGTGCTGCATAATTTATCTGAAGTTTGTATGTTGTGCTGAAAGGATAGTGTAATTTAAGTCATGAAAATGAGTGCTATGTAGAGACAAGTCCTAGCTGCTCTGAAGGCCACCCTAAGTTAGTTGGTTTCTCATATTTAGAATTAGATGAGTTTTGGTGGGTTGTTATTAGGCTGGATAGATGTTGGCAGGTGGTAATGCACCTCTTTGCAAGTGTATTTGTTTGTTCTTAGTTGAGCCAAAATGATCTGGTGGCCAAACCTGGAACAGGTAACCCCTCCACGGCCAATCTTTTTGTTTCAGCAGAAATTTGGTTTCAAGCTGGAAGAAGTTATATCGTGATTATGACTGAGCTAGCAGAACCGAACTTTTCTGTAGGAAGAAAATTGCAATAGTTGGATTGGCCTAATTATTATATACACATTATATAAATATGACTGTCTTTAACCATTGAAGAGTTGCTCTTGTTACTTAATTTGCATTTAAATTGCAGTACAATTACTAGTAAAGTTACCATCATTTGCCAAGATTGTGTTTGAATTTGGTTCGGTTCGACTATTAAGTCTAAAGACTCTAAACATTTGTCCAAGTCTTGTCTAAAAGAAGTTGAAATGGGAATTGGGAAGTCTCCACAAAATAGTGATCTGTGATGGAGATAATTTGAATTTGAGACTTTCCACTCTTCACATAAGTGAAATGAGAGAAGACCATCCAGACCATTGCCTAATTGGCATGATACAATTTTTTTATATATATATATTATGATGTATAATGTATATGTTTTTTATTTTTAAAGTAAATATATATATATTTATTCTAATTTATTATATGAAATGAAAATAGTAATTGAACTTTTAATTAAGAATTAACAAAATTTGTTATTTTAAATAACTATAAATAAAATAACCATAAAAATACTAATTTGAAAATTTTATTAATAATTATTTTTTTGATGTTAATGAAGGCAAATAGAATAATATTTAAATCAAAATATAGTTGATAAATCAATAGCTATTCGGGACTTTTGATACAACCTAAGTGTTGAATATTAAATAATTATTAACTGCATGAATTAACTCAAGCAAAAGCATTCTAAGTGCAGTAAGTCTTATCATATATTCAATTATGATTTATAACTATCTTATATGCATCAATAAGATAAATTTATGGATTGTCTCTTATGAACTACAATCCTTCATTCTAATGGTTTCTGAAATGAAATTGAAATTTTGTCAAATTCCATACATCTTTAAAGTCTATATCCAAACATTGCCTAAAGCATTATTTTCCATTATTTCCTTAATAAAAAAAAGTTGATTCTTTCCCAATAACAAGCCAAATACACACATATATATGTAAGGAAATCCAATGTGGTCTGGTAATATTCTTCAACCAGGTGTCTACTCAGCTGTAGGTTGTAGCCATGTTATCCTTTATAAATCAAAGAAGAAACAGAACCAGCAATAGAAGCTAAAAGAAAAAAGAAAACCTAACCCTAACAATATGTTCTTTCTGACACAAACTAACAAACAAACAAACAACCAAGTTCACGAGAAGAAGAAACTAACATAACCAACCAACTGAACATCTAACTTAGCACCTCTCTCCCACTCTTAAATTCCCAATAAAACAAAAAGAAAGAGATAAATTAATAGCAAGAATACAAAAATAATAAGGTCACGGGAATCGGAATATATGGTATATGGAGACACTAAAGCAAGAAAGGTCTCTTGCATTATTGCCTTTGTCTCCTCTTCAATACAAAAATAAATAGAAACAAACTAAAGGTTTCTGGGTAGGGTTTTCGTGGAGTTGAGCAAAGCTCTATTGAATTTGAGTTCAACTGGTGAAAAATTTATTAACAAGTTTGTATTTTTATCGAGTTGAATATCGAATAGTTTGAGAGTGGATCGACTCATTTACGGTTCTAATTTTAATAAGTATATAAATTCATTATCACAATTTAAAAGACAAAAAAAGAAAAGAAAAGAAAACTAACTGATACAACTTGGTGGCAAATCCATCGCTTTGTAATTTTTATTTATTTATTTATTTATTTTTTGTCTGTTGGGTATCAGACTAAAAGGGTCCCTTTCAGAAAGAGAAACTAACCTAAAGGCAACATGTGAGTGCACATGTAAGTTTGGTTTTTTCAAGCTAGCTATCTGTTTCAGTTTCACATGCTTTAGAATCAGAGAAGAAGATATGGAAATCAATACTAGCCCATGAAAATTACTTTTCTTGATGACACCTCACACGTATGGAGCATTTCTCTCTCTTTATCTGCTTATCTATCGATGTAGTAATCTTCCACGTATATCTGTTAGGATAATTGAAAGAAAGGAACCATGCATGAAAGTTAAGCTTGCATTGCATATCTCCGCACAAGAAGAGCAATTTATAATATTGGATAGTGTATAGTAAATCATGTAGGTAGGATTAATGTTAATCAATCATTTAAAATTCTTTTTTTTTATAAACTTTACGAGCCGGAGCTCAATACTATTTATCAAACTCATTCAATAAACGAATTGAACTTGCACTGTGAGTTCAACTTTGTAAATGAATCACTATTTTTTTTTTCAAATTTGCAGCTCAATTTTTGAAATTCAAATTCGAGCTCGAACAAAGTTGAGCTCCGCTCCACGTTTATAGCTATAAATTTTTAAGTTTTAAACACAATTTAGTAGAATTTCATAAATTAAAGTTAGAAAAAAAAAAAAAAAAAAAAAATGGAAAAAAAAAGCAAATGGAAAAATTCTTTGCGCATAAGACTATACAAAAAAAAAAAAAAAAAAAAGCAAATGGAAAATTCTTTGCGCATAAGACATACATAAACTTAACTCAAGTTGACAACATATAACATTTGTGTGCCTATAAATACCCTTTAATAAGTGCCTTGTCAACCATACATTAATTCTCACATCTCTACCCTTTCCCTCTCTTTCTCTTCCTCACTCGTAGCTTGTGGCTCTGCTATTGTTTCCAAGCCATTGTCTTTTCTTAAGATACGCGAAGATGAAGAAAGCAAGCATTGCCATGTCTGTTCTTGTTTTAATGTTTCTTACCGTAGTTCAGAACAATGTAAGTTTAATTTTATTTTTATTTTTCTTCTTCTTCTTGCTTCCTTAATTAACCAGAACCACTAAAGAAATTAATTTTTTGTCATTCAGAGGTTTGGCAGTGATTATTAATCTTGATTAATCCCTGATTATTTCACTTTAAATTTATATGTAAAAAATAACATTTTTATAGCAGTCAGATTTTGATTAGTTGGAAAATTGCATGATTTTCCAATATGATATCCAGGACTGTTCATATATCTTTTTTTTTCTTTATATATATATATATATATATGGATTATTATTTTCCTTAATAAATTCTCCTTAATTTTTCTAAGTCTATCAATTGGCGTTATGAACTTATGTTAAACATGGAACGAAGTTTAAATTATCAACTTATGTATACTAAGATTAAAATTCTTTATATGAAAAAAAATATGATTAGAAATGTAAAACAATTTCTAAAAATAGTTTTTAAGAATATTATTGATTAATTTCGTTATAAATTCATTGATTTTGAACGTGAATGATTACAGTTTTTGCATTTAAAATCGTTTATATGTTAATTTAAATTTATTAAAGAATTGAAATTTTATTTTTTAAAATTTTTATTCAACACCTATTATTTATTTAAATCTGAAAAATGGGTAAAATAAGGACCATGCAACTCTTATATCATCATAAGGTTCTTTTGGATGACAATATAATGATTGACAAATTATTAATAATCTATTGGAATCTTTTTATGCTTTTGGAATTAAACCTTTTGTCCTATTTGCTACTTTGAATTTTGTCTGGACATGTTCATGCCTATAGGAATTTTTAGTTAATTAATTAATTTCTTTTTTTTTTGGAAGGAAGTTAATTAATTAATTAATTTTGTTAATACACACCACAAATTTCCTTCAATTAAATAGGTTTTATATATTAAAGAGAGTCACAATATTTAAAAAAAAAAAAAAAAGTCACAATATGTCTAATTCAACATTGTGGTGAGTCCAATCAATCATAAATACTCTGAGTATAATTTAAAAAAAAAATAATAATACAAACATTCAATTATAAACTTATCTATTCATACAACTGCATAGCAAAAATAAAAAACATGTCCAACATGGTTATAAATAACCCTCAATTTTTTTAATCAAAAATTACCATGTTATATATATATTAAAAATTTTAAAAAGGAAGAGGAATGTCTTATAAAATTACAGTCAAATGGGCTAATTCAAAACAGTATAATAGAGCCTTTTAGTTGTTTCGAAAATCGTTTTAAGTCATTTATGGGCTTTCTCGAATAATTATTGGGCCTAACTATTGAAATGACTCGACTTTTTTGTGGCTTGCAGGCTAACATCACTGAGGTCCCAAGTCCACAGCCACAGCCACAGCCACAGCCAAACCACAATCACGACAATCCCACTGTGAGATATTTAAAAATATCCATATGTATATATGGTTAAATATTTTGGAGTACCTAAATTATGACCAAATTAATATTTAAGTCTCTCAATATTTAAATAATTATTTTGAATGATCTAAATAATGCTGCCATTACGCTGAGGTTCTTCCATCCAAATTCCTATCTTTCTCCATTTATATGGGCTGAAGAAGCGAATATTAAGTAAAGGATTAAATATTTTTTGGTCCTTAAATTATGAAAAAAAAAAATAACACTTAGATCTCTCAATGTTTGACTAATTATTCATTTTTTAGCCTACATAAACGGAAAAATGTAGTAATTTGAATGGAATGACCTCATGTGTAACGGCAGCATTATTTAGGTCATTCAAAATAATTACTCAAATATTGAGAGACGTAAATATTAATTTAGTCATAATTTAGGAACCCAAAAATATTTAACCCTATCTATCTATATATATATATATATTTTTTCTGAAATAAAAATTAAACTCTTTTTTACTGATATAATATATTTTGCTTTCTTGAAATTTTTAGCACGGCACTACTGAAGGCAGCCTCCATCCTCAAGGTAATTAATTAAATCATATTAATTAGAATCATGTAAAAATTTGACGGATCTCAAGTCTAAGGCTTGCTACGTTAAAATTAATTGTTTTACTAGTTATTAAAGGTTTTAGTAATTATTAGTAGTCTTAGGGTCTGTTTTTTGTTGTTTTGGTAAGCATTTACCGGTTAGCTGTTTCAATAATTTTTTATAATATGCTAAATGCTAAAATAAATTAACTTTTTATAAAACGCTACCTTAACCTTTAAAAGTTAATTCAAACATATATTATCAATACTATAAAAAAATAGCGGTTAATGTTTTGACAAAAGCGACTTAAAAAGTTATTTTCGAACACAATCCTAGTAGGCATTGGCTATTTTACTAACATTTCATCAAACATTAAAAGAATTACAGGTGATTAATGTCAAAAATACTAAACTCTATTTAAAATGTTGTTGCCAAAGAGTTTCTAAATCTAATTAGAATATCCTTAAAAATATAAATTAGGTAATATTATTTTTGTTGATGTTGATTAATTTATTGGGGTTAAACACACCACAGAATGTGCGCCACGTTGCAGTACAAGATGCTCGAAGACACAATACAAGAAACCATGTTTGTTCTTTTGCCAGAAATGCTGTGCAAAGTGCTTGTGTGTGCCTGAAGGCACTTATGGTAACAAACAATCCTGCCCTTGTTACAATAATTGGAAGACCAAGAGAGGAGGTCCCAAATGTCCTTGAACACTCTTTCCTATTTTAATTTCCATAAAAAAAAAAAAAAATTATCTCTATTGGATTTCTAAATGTTGCATAGAAAAATAAATTTCCTTTAAAAAAAAAAAAAAATTATCTCTATTGGATTTCTAAATGTTGCATAGAAAAATAAATTTCCTTTTGCTATTAATGTATTTATGTTGTTAATTTTCTTTTCGAGCGTTAAGAGAAGCGTAATATTTAATGCTACAACGCTTGTAGTTAATATTATTTATTCCTTTATTCTTATTGGAAAAAAAGGTTCAAAATGGCAGCCTAAAATATTTTGAATATTTATTCTTTTTAATTTTATACTCGCACGTTGAAATAAATTTTACAATAAGTAGATCATGAACTGAAAATTTATTTAATAATTTAATGAAAATGTACGAGAGAGAAAATTTAATTGAAAATACAAAAACAAAGAGACATTAATAACAGTATAAAATAAAAAGAAAATTATACAATGAAAAGAAAGATTTTAATGGAATCAAAACAGAGAAACCTTAGAGAGATGATTACAAAGAAAGAGAGGCGAAAATGAATATTTCGAAAGAAATAATGAAAGAGAGGTGCTAGCTATGAATTTATTGGAGAACGTGGATCTGACTTGTTGTTGATGAAGAAGATAATGATCATTTTTAGCTTTGAACGAAGAATTTAATTTGATTGGGTAGTTTTATAGAAATACTGTATTATTTGAATTTTTAAAAATTTTTAGGACATTTAAATTTTTGAATCTTTGTAAAATTCATGGTATTTGATTTTTAAATTTTAGATTCAATGTTAATTCTAAGGAAATACAACTGAAATACTAAATTTCAGTTTTTAATTATTGACCAAACAAATTGTGATATGTTACCATAACTAAAAAAATTTATAGTCTGCTCCGATATTTCAAAATAAAAAATATCACAACAGGAACTTTTTGAGACCTTTTTATATAAAAAATTCATATATTTATTTTTAGTTATATTTTCATTTAATATGTTAAAAAAATTCATATCACAATTTGTTTACTGTCACATCATTCATATTATTAAGAATAGTTCTACTTTATTCATGTACATCAATTAGCAAGCAAAAAAATCTGATTCATTAGTGATCAAATTGTACGGTTCAATTATTTAATTATGGTTCAACAAATAGTTCCAAAAATTTACCAATAGATTCTACTAATTAAGAAAAATGATTTGGTACGAAGAATAAATGGAGAAACATTAATTTGAATTTATTTATCTCTCTGGAATACAATTCTCTGATTTATTTTTTGAATTATTTATGTAAGTGAAAAATGTAAGCGTCACTATTTTAATTTAATAACTTAAAATCGAAAAACAGGTGAATATATACTATAATTATAATGAAAATATAATTTACAATGAACCACAATCATGAAAAATGTGAAAATTCAAGCTTTCTTTAAATAATGGTAGGATGACTTAGAGTGTTGTGATTATGAGTTTAAAATCCTTATATTTCTTAAATATGACAATACAAATTCTAATTTTCAGTTTTCAATTAGTAGCCACACAAAATGACATGTGATAATTTATATCGAAAATATTTATTAATTTGCTTCAATATTTCACAATTAAATATATCACAACAGAAGCTATCTGAAAACTTTTTATAGTAAAAACTCATATATTTGTCTAACTTATTGCCATTAAAGAAATAAAAATGAGTATTAAAATGATACTAAATGAATTTTTTATTTTGATACTAGACGTATTATAAATTTATATAATCACATATCGCGTATATCTTTAATTATAAAATCAATCAATCCCAACGTTGCTCGAGCACAACACCTAATAATAAACTATTGAAGATAAACATTTTCCTCCTCTATTCAAATAATTTTTTTTTTCACTTAATTTTCCTTTCTATTTCTACTTTTCTGTCATTATCTTTCCTCTTTAATTCAAAGATGGCGTGAAACCTTCAACCTTCATACTCGAATGCTCCTCCACAATATGTGAAAATGAAATATAATCTTGACAGTCTAATGATTGGCATGCCATAAATCCAAATAAGACGACTAGATCTGTAAATATCTATAGTTTTAGGTGAGTGAAAGGCAAATCCATTTAAACATAATGGTGTTTGATGAATGAACAAGCCTCCAAAAATATTCCGAAATGGAAAATGGAGAAAAATCTTAAGAAAATAGGACGCCTGGACGTTCTGAGTCAATTAATATTATTTTGATGGTGATTTATCCATATCAACGAATTCTTTGAAACAATGTCAGGATGAAAAACATCACTTTGACTCTGAAAGTTGACGCTGGAACTTCAAAAACTTACCCAGAACAAGCTGAATCTATCAGAAAGAATGGATACATCGTTATTAAAAATCACTCATGGAAGGTCTACTTCTAGGTTCTTGTTAATATAATTCCAGTTTTTAATTATTGACCAAACAAATTGTCATATATTTATATAGCTAAAAAAATTTATTAGTTTGCTCCAATATTTCAAAAAAAAAAAAAATATTATAAGAGAAACTTTTTGAGACTTCTTATAGTGAAAATTCGGATATTTGTTTTGGTTATATTTCGCCTAATATGTTAAAAAAATTCATGAAATTGAAGTGAGTTTGCTAAATACATAAATTCAGCATGTACTTTTAATATAAAAAAACAACTATAGTTTTAAAATAAATCTATTTTTTAATAAAAAATATTTATTTTAAGAGTTTTAAAATAAAAATTTTATCACCTCAGGCAAAGCGTGTAATCTGATTTATGGGATAACAATTTAACTCGAAACTTATCCATAATGATCTCAACATTTATTGTTGATCTTGTCCCAATCCCGATATATAATATATTTGAATCAAATATTTAAATATTAAAGTTTTAATAAAAATATTCTTAAAGTCATGTCTAAAATTTATATCTTAACTCAGTACTTTATTTTTTTTTAATAAAAAAAATTTACACTTTATAATGACATATTGAATTTAAAAATAAAATAAAATAATTCCATCATAATCCCAATTTTTCATAGATTGAAAATGGTAGAGATGAATAATAATTTATTTATTTATTTTTCTTTGTGAGAACACGTTAGGTTTTTTTTTTTATTTTTTTTTTTCCAAAAAAAAAAAAAAAAAGTCCTGTCAACAAATTATCTATTATTATAATTAAAATTTTAAATTGAGTTAATATCATTTAATTGCAATCCAATTATTATGCTTTGCTTTTTTTTTTTTTCCTTTATTGTGGCCAATTTATTATCATAATTGTACATATATACAAATACTTATTCACATTCAAGCGCAATTCTAAAGCCCACGAATAGATCTCTTTCACTTAAAACATCTGTATGCTTGTAGATATTTCTGACACTCAAACAAATTACAATCTCTAGAGATGAATTTCTATAATAAGATCACTTAGTCCAATTACTTTATAAAATTAAAAAAATAAAATTATGAAAACACATATGCTAAGACGAATTTCGTAGCAGTAAAAATGTCTCGCTCCCTTTGACCTATGTTTCAAGCTTTTAAGCTTTCAAGCGAAAGAGATTTTATAATCCGAATTTTAATTTTCAGTTTTACACCGTTAAATTAAACATATGGTATTATATTTATAATATTTAACTTTTAGTAGATAGCATTGTATTGTGCTAAGATTTGAAACATATAATTGAAGTGACTTACAAATTATTTCAATGATGGAGCATAATTTAAATATCTCAAAATTATAAATTTTATATTCTCAAATCTTAAATTTTAGTTTTCAACATTTAGCTAAATAAATGGCACATGACCATCCAAATTAAAAGTTTTATTAATTTACTCCAATATCTCAAAATAAAAGATATGATAATAATATTAATTTCAAATTTATTATAGCAAAAACTCATGTAATCAAATAGCGGTGATTATTAGAATGATACATATCATGCTAAATCAATTTTCTTACTATCATGTCATTCATATTATAAGAATTTCGTAAAGAAAAATATATTTTTTATATTTATGTTCTACGATTAAATTTTAAATTTCATTATATTGAAGCCATTTTTACATGAATAATTTAAAACGCACATATATATTTCCATTTTCAGCAGTAAAGAAAATAGCACACGAAGCTACTATCTTGCTTGCAGGCTCACCTACAAACGCACATAGCTCGAACCCTAGCGGACTCGACTACGATCATAACAATTAATTCATCTTTGACCTAATATTGCAATGTAAAGAAAAGAAGGAACAAAAATTGTATGATAATCAAACAATTATTTTGAATATTTCTACTTCATTCGTGTAATTCAATTAGTAAGCAAAAAAATTTGATTAATTAGCAATCTGATTGTCCAATTCGATTATCCAATTATGGCTCAACAAATAATTCGAAGAATCCAGCAATCGATTTTTCTAATTAAGAAAGATAATTTTGTATAAAGAATAAAAGGAGGAACATTAATGTGAACTTGTTTATCTCTCTATAATAAAATTCTTCGACTTTTTAAATTATTCACGTAAGTGAATAATATAGGTCTCACCGTATTAATTTAATCGCCACATCACTTAAAATTGGAAAACATGTGAATATATGGTATAGTTATAATGAAAATATAATTCATAAATTTTTATAATAAAATTAAAAAAATTAACAACAATTATGAAAATTTTCAAAAATCAAACTTTTAAAATAATGGTAGGATGATTCAAAGTATCGTGATTATGAGTTTAAAATGTCTATCTTTGTAAAAATATTGCAATAGAAATTCTAATTTTCAGTTTTCAATTAGCAGCCACACAAAATGGTATGTGCTAATATATATAAAAACATTATTAGTTTGCTCCAATATTTCACAATAGAATATATCACAATAGAAGCTATTTTAAAAACTATTTATAGTAAAAACTCATTTATTTATCTAATATATATTATCTCCAAACATGTAAAAAAATTCATAAAATAAAAGTGAGTATTAAAATGATACATCATATTAAAATAAATGAATGTTTTATTCAAATCATTCGTATTAGCAGTAAGAAATTTTACAAATAGAAGCTACATCAAATCGTTTTTTGGCTTATTTATTATAAATAAAACAGAACTCCAAATATTACAAATAAGCGATGTAAATTTTCACCATATTATATACTTTAATTTTATGTGTCTAAACATAAAAATAATTAATCAATAATTTAAAATTAATTATCTACTCATAATTTATTTAATTATATAATACAACAATAACTTTCAAAATTTATTTTTGAAAATACAAATTTT